ACAAATATGTCTGTTCTGAGTGTGTGTGCACACGAAGCAAGTGTTGCTCCCAGTAAGTGTGTGTTCCCATGGCAGGCCATAGTTGAGTCAGACACTTGGCCTCTGATTTCATCACATCGGTTATGAAAGAGACAGTAAAGTTTAACAAGCACACATGCATACACGCACTGTGTTCCTCCTACTCTATTTCTTCAATATTTCATCATGTGGCGTAAAAACACGCTAACCATGTGGAGATAACCTGCTGCAGTAGTGTGTGTGTGTAGTGTGAGTGTGTAACCAGGTCAGTAAAGCTCCTCGCTTGTCGCATCAAATCAGCAGAGCTGGTCTCACACACACACTCACTGATGTAGAGGCCAGAGGTCAGTGCGCACACACAGGAAATCTGCATAATGAAGTTGTGACCGTGTTACCTGTGAAGGAGCAGATGTCTGTCTCTAACTCCTGCTGGGATTAAAGAACAAGTTCACCTACATGGGCATCTGTGCACGTGTGATCAGCTCATGCTGGTTGCAAAATGAGCACAAGTTGCATTAAAAAAGTATATTTCAATACTTTTACATTAGCAGTAAAAATAGATCAAACAAAGAAGGCTCTCTTCTTGATGCTCCATGGAGGCAGTGTGTCATGAAATTTTCCTCGGTTGCTTCAGTGTGATTTGGTGAAACAAACAAGAACAATAACACGCTTACACCTCAGGTTTGACTCAGTCAAGGAACAAATTGTCAGATATTATGAGGTTTACTCTGTATAGAGCAACACCATAAATCTGAAATGAGAACACCCCTGTGCAATACCTCTTTAATGTCACACAATTCAACGTTGCATCACCTTCAAATATATGTAATTCTTTTAAGCTCTCATAAAAAAATAAAACAGCTTTAATTTACCATATTGCCCTCTGTAGGAACTCCTAGAGGAAAGTTCAGAACTTCTTTCTGTACTGATGTTTGAATCATACTTTTCGCAAAAGGAGGGATTGCATAGATCTCTAGATGTTTTGCCTATCGTGAGATGCTCTTTTTGTTGATATTTTGGGGTTGTGTGCTTGTTTCTTTTCTTTTTTTTTTTACTTTGATTTTGCTTTCAGGGCTGGGATCTTTTTTGAAGTTGCCTAAAAAAGAAAAAAAAATGTTGATGCTTCAAGAATTTACAAAAAACATTTAAAAAATTACAAAAAATATGAACACCTAAATTTTGCAATATGGAAAATTGCAGCCTGGTAACTGAAAAAAAAACAACAAAAAACTAAACACCAACAATCACTTGTCTAATCTGTGCAAAAGATTATACATACTTTAAAGTAGCCACACTCTTGACGGTGAAATGCTATTCATGGGTATTATTGATCATGTGTAATCTCTTGATGCATGGTCAATTGTTTTCTGCATCCTTGTATTTTTTATTTTTATTTTTTTTTACAGAACAAATCCTTAAAACTAAAAAGATGAGAGTATACTTTATTGGACTGCTGTATTTATCAAAATATAACTGAATTGTTCATTTATCTTAGTGATTCAATTCAAAAAGAGAAGTTCACGTGTTTCAAAGCTTTATTACATGAAGTAAAACATTTTAAAATGCTGCACTGATTTGGATTATTATGACTTAGCGTCTCAAAAAATTTGAATATTGCATTTTCTAATTGGTATGCAAAGGTATTTTTATTGTAGTAATGTTATATTTTGAACAACACAATCTAATGAAAGTCTGCTGAATTGTCAGTTGTCCTAGAAATAGTCATTGACAATCCACTCTGTCCAACTTGTCTTATCAAGTCAAAAGCTGCAGAGATATGCCAGAATATTTCAAAGTACACCATGCTTACATCTGCTGGCAAGATTTATGGAAATGCTGATTTCCTTTTTCACAAGGACATCTTCCTGCTCTACCATGTGCCAGACATATCAATCAGTATTATTGTGCTTGAAAGGCCTGACCTAAACTGCACACCGAAAATACTGGGGAATTTGAAAAACAAAGATGAGAAAGATCTTGCTTCTTGTTTTTATCAAATGCTCATCTCTATTGTCTGCTAGATTAATCTACCTGTGGGTATTGATGAAGTCACTTTGTAGTATTTAAGATATATTTTAGCAATGCTTCAAAGTGTCACCTCGAAGAAAAATGACAATATGCCTGAAAACGTATTCTGACTCTTAAAGATTGCACAATTTCTTTCCTGTAAAACGAGAAAGTCGACATGCATGCAGAAAAATGGGAGTGCAGCTACCAATAGAACAGCTGTGCTTTTCTGTGAAACTGATTGGTTCAAGTGTCCTGAGAAAATAATGTTTAACCAGAGAAATGAGACAGACTTGCCTGTATGTGTGATACATGTTGTTCCCTGAAGGAACCGTGTCAGGACCTGATGGATTTAAAAATTCCCATGGAAGGCGTAAATGAGAACCAAGCTTTGATATACATATATTTCACCAAAGAATCCTTGAGTGTCCTACTTTGCTCAGATCTTACATCTTCTGAACATTCTGACAATAAAACCAGGATTTTCCACACCAAGAAATATAAAAAAATACTTTGGTTGGAGCCTGTCTGGGTCATAGCAGCAGAGTCTTCTAAAGTCTGGCAAATCAAATATGACCTCAATACAAACTAGTTGCTTACTTGCCACACCTAATATCAGATAGAAGCATGGCTTTTTCAGGGCTGAAGTTAACCCTCAGTTTAAGATAACCTTCAGTACCAGGAAAGATTAATAATTCTTAAAATTGAACATATTTTAATGTTTTATGTGATTTTTATTTGATGGGACACAAAGAATATAAGGTTATAAAGTAAAGGTGATAATAAATAATTGATAATTAATGGATTTATTACCTTAAATTATTAGTAGTACTATCATGTAGCAGATAGTCATAATAAAAGGGGAAAAAGTCCAAGGATCTTAAAGTATAAATGATGTGAACTTTCCCAGGTTCTAAATTTATTTTTATCTAAAATCTACAAATGAACACACTACTGATTCTACAATGGCATTATTTGTTGAACACAAAGAAAACAAAAAGGTCTTTGAAATACATCGTCTAGAACAGTTTCCCAAGTCTGGTCTTTAAGGCACATTGCTCTGTATGTTTTAGAGTCTTTAATACGCCTGATTCAGCTGACTGTTGTTCAGCAAACACCTGTCAATTGAAATCACCTGTGCTGAAGCAAGAAAACACCTTCAGCATGCTGGGTAGTCAGCCTCGAGGACTTGGGTTGGGAAACTGTTCTCGAATGTAAAAGGAGGAGTGTTGGTGGGGGAAGTTACCTTTACTCTACCTGCAATATGCAGGAAGGACTCTGTGTACAACATCCAGAATATCTAAACTTACTTATCAGTTTACCTATTAACGTAGTATTTGCAGTAGTAACACCGGAATGATTCATGCTTTCAAGGCCTGTGTCATTTACACATAATGAATTTCCCCTCTGAGGAACAAAAAAATAGCATTTCTATTCTGTTCTACTCTCACTTGGACACAAAAAAATATTTTTAACACATCAACGTTGGAAAATACAAAGGTGTACAGAGGAACACTCTTTTGGGTCAAATAGTTATGTAAGTTAAGTATTTTAAATTCTATTTCAGAGAGTAAAATGATTACAGTGACTAAAACTACCATTTTTGCAAGATTAAGTGCCTAATGTGAGCTACAAAGATGTAGCTCCTGAAGCTCCAACTACAGACGGAAGGCAGATTAAGGTCTGTTCTTAATAGATGGATTGAGGTCAACAAACAGTGGCACTACCAAACGTGCCAGTGTGTAGCCCATATAATGCCAGTTAGCACACTTGATATAAATGTCATGAATAGCAGAGGCCATCAGTAGATCATGCAGCTGTGGCATGCCATTTTTTACTTGATAAAGTTGTAAAGTGAAAGGGAGGATTCATCAGTGTGTCAAAATGTCTCTTTCTTGCCTAAACCTCCAACCTAAGTGGGACAGGTGTAGCTGCAATCAAACAAGGTAAAAAATAAAAAATAAAAGTATGCCAACTCTAAGTGTGGTTTAATGCATATTGTACATATGTAATATATTTGGAATGAAACTGTATATACAAGTAATTTTTTGGCTAACTTTTCCATAAAAGTCATGTGGTTTTTAATCAAAAGTAGTTAACTTCTCACAATCAACTGAAGGTCGGAGGCTATAATACTAATATTCACATAAATCAGTGGACTGTGGTAAAGCCGATGATTGAAAATGCAATTTCATATCTATCTGTCTATGGTTTTATGTTTATAGCTACAAATACATAGTACGTTTTTCTTTCCTGCTAAAAATGATTCATGAAAGAAGCCGCTGTTTTGTGGGTTGTCGACTGAAACAGCGCCCCTAGTGGAATAAATGTCACGCGACGCTCAGACTTTATATGAGTTTAATGGAAACTTATTGTATAAGACTGAGGTAAATTTAGTTCTTGAAAGATGCGTTTTAAAATAGTTATACCTAACTACTATAGCAGAAGATAAAAATATCTCCATCTGGTGTTTAGACCATTAAACTCTTTCAGATACTCTAACTTGTGTATCAGAATAATCCAGGATAGTTTTCCTTTTAAAAGACTAACATTTTATTTACTTTGAATAAATGGTGTTTAGATCATTCTGTAGGATTGATTTCATTCGATATACTTGAAATCCTCATTTTGATTTGGAAATATTATGTATTAGTGTAATACATAATACATAGGCAGCCTTAATGCGCAGAGTTCACTTTCAAAAACGTGGTTGGCCAAAACGAAAACTAGAAAAACTAGAGCAGTCACACAAATGGTGATTTGTAGTCTCCAGATTACATGTCACCACTTGGTTTTACTCGGGAACTTCAGATAATTTTAGTCTGTGACTAATAAGACATGATGATAAGCGGAAATGCGTGAGGTATGCCCCGCTCCCTTTCAGGTCGGCTCTGTCTGACGACCGACCTGCCGTGGATTGCAACATCGAAGCTCCGCCCCTCCGGGCTGACGTCACCGCGGGAGGAAACAACGAAACCAAACAAACCCGGAGTCAGTCGGAGCCCCAGAGTCCAGCTGAAAGTTCTGAAGAACCAAGACCAGGGTCAGCTGAAAGCCACGGGGAAATAAACTAGACCGACTCTACTCTGCTTTCTGCTGATCAAGGGGGAGGACTGCCTCTGAACGCCCTTTTTCGGAAATAACAACAAAGACTCAACAAGTTTCAGTTTTAATTTCAGTGACATTTTTTATTGGAATTCTTCGTCGATAAATTATCTTCATTTATTTAACTTAATCCGTAATATAAAACTCAGCGACCACCAGCTGACGGACCAACAGATAGGTTGCGCAACTGAAACAGCAGGAAGCGCAAAGACGTCACCTCCAGTTCTCCCAGTGTCATAGCGACTGGTCCCAGTCGGAATTCAGTAGGAAGAGAGTGGGACCGCTTTTCAGAACTTTAGCAACTCTGCTGCACGGACAAGTGACCAAAACAATCTTCATAGTGATTTTCCTGAATTGACCGGTAGTTCACACCTGAAGTCATCCCAAAGGTAAGAAACTGACCTGAGACCAGCAGAACTGCTGCTGATGGCATGAAAATCTATCTAAATATTTATCCTGAAGTGAACAATAGTGCTGAACAATAGTTTTCTGAGTTGTTTTTATGTGAGTAATAAAAGCACCTTTTCAGAAATAGTTTTCTTCATGTTATTTAGATTGAAATATTATTCAATTGTACTGAATGAGTCAGAAACAAAACAAAACCAATTCTCTTCAACTTTTAAATTCAACTCAGCATGCACTTTTCTGCTGTTATTGTTTTCCAGCTATATTAAGAAAGTCATATTGGTTGTTATTTAATAAATCAACCCATAAGTGTAGGTTAATTTAAAGGCCTACAAAACACAAGAGTTTAAAGACCCATATAGTCACACACCATTTGCAGTGATATTAAAGATGATTCTATGTACTGTACATAGACACATGTGGAAATGATGCTCAGATGATTCCTAAACCAGCATTGAATGCATCCATTGATGCATTCAAATCCATCAATGGATTGTTGTTGATTTTCAAAAACTAAATAAAAACAGTTAGCCTTAATCTCGCTTTTTTATATTTTTTGTGCTATAGAAAAATAAATTATCAGTTTGCCTCCTTGTCAAACCTCAAACCAGCACATAGTTTCTTGACTGTTTTGCTTTGCTTTTTATTTTAGTGTGATAAACTGTGAGAAAACACTGAGTCTATATTTGAAATATTTGTTTATGTTTTGATTTGAATTTTTGAAAGTCTGTTAATTATTAGAAAATATTCAATTATAACACTGTTGCTAAAAGTTGTATTGTCGAGATTGACTCGGATGAAGCCACATGCTTTTGACTCATTTCTTTCCTTATTATGACACACTGTCTCCACCACTGTGTTACTTTTAGCATCTTAGCCACAAAAGATATACATCAGATGAGGGAAGTAAGGGCAGTTAATACCAGTTTTACTCACCAGAAAAATATTAATATGCAGAACTGTAAAAACTAACAAAATATCCCAAAAGATGTTTGTGATTGCAATATTGCACAGACTAACAATGCCTATTTTCAATATTGTGCACCTCTGCTTTCTTTCCTTGGATAAAGTGAAGCAGCACATTTCTAATTTAAAATAGTTTGTTTTTACAGTAAGGGAATGTAATTGGTCTGTGGAATATATCTTCTGAAATAAGATCTTCCAGAACATTATAACAGGCCATTTCCTTGGATTATTAATTCTTTCAACAAATGTATGAGTAGGGTGCTTTGAATGAATCTCCCCTAAATATTTTTAGTTGCAGTCTTCTTTTATTTTCTTTGCCATTTCATGATTTTGATTGAGTAGTGGTGTTTTTTTATTTTATTTTATTTAATTAGGCAGTGAAGACTGTAAAAGAGCACAGATTGAGATAAACAAGAGAAAAGTTGTGTTTATAAATCTCATAGTTCTTGGTGTGCTTTTTGTGCATTTCACAAAAATGCTTGTCCAAGTCATACTTTAATTACACTAGAAACCTATTTATGAGGGAGCAACTTTTACAATGAATTAAATGCCCAATGAGAGGTTACATGGTGCAAAGTTTCTGCATGTGGGTTTTGCTTTCTGAATAATTCAGCAGTCAGATCTCTGGAGATTTCTCCATCGCTTTATTTTGAGCTACAGTTTCACAATCAAATGTGTCAAACAAGGCCAGATTTGCTGTGTGTATATGTGTGTGTGGGGGTGGATGACGTTGCCACAGAGTGACATTGTGACTCAGGGTGTTTCAGCAGGAGTGAAAGCAGTGTTGCCCCACAGCCAGTTTCCACAAAGTATCACCAAGGTGACCACAAGTTATGAGAAACTCACTCACACACACCCACCCAAACACACACACCCTAGCGGTGCAGGCATGTAGGTGTTGACTGTATTTAAAGCCTTTTTAAACTATAAACTGTTTTGCTCTGATGCAACGATCTGAAAGCTGTGGTGCCTGTCAGCTTACAGGAAGTTGCATCAGGAGAGCCTATAGACCCGACCGTGTAACATGTAAGCAGCAGGGATGCAGAACACAGTTAGATGTGATACTAATACATCATTTTTACTTAATGTGAAAATGTCACTGTAGAGGTTTTAGTGAAAGAATCAGTGAGTCAGAGTTTCCCCTGAAGAGGGTGCTGTTGTGCAACAGGCAGCAGGTTTACTGTAAATTTAAATAAAAAACATGTTAGAATAAGTTAACCAAGTGCTTTATTCAACACAGATAAATTAAATATAATATGTGACTAAATAATATTTCCACCCAGGTGTATCCATTATTTGTCAAAAATCAGACAAGATGTATAAATGGGTTGCAGGTGAGGATAAGAATCAGCCTAATAATAACCAAAAATATTCACTCAAATGTGTTTAATTATATTTGATTACAGGAAGCTGAAAAAATAGTTTGTGTCCTTTTAAGACAAGACTGCAACAAGCATTTGAAATTTAAAATTTAAAATTTAAATTTAACACATGAACTACTGTTGATTTTAGCGCCCTGTCAGAAGCATGCCGTTTCACCTCGTTTCTGCAAGAAAAAAATGGATACATTATCAATAATAATAATAAGAGTCGTGAGATCATTTAAATTTTGCAATATGGAACTATTTATTGGATGGTTTCTGACACTGGTTGATTTTGTCAGTTCCTTGTGTTCCAACAGAAACTTTAAGCTTATTTTAGCATTTTAAAATTATATTGTGATCTTTTTTAATCCATTCTACATTTTTATAGAAAATGTGTAAAATATAGTAGGCAACATGATTATAGTAAACTAAAAAAAATAAAAAATAAAATCCATGAAAATTCTGAAATTTTTCACAGTGCGCACATTGGATTTTTGATCATAACTGATGGTTGCTGCCTGAAAATCTTTTGATTTGAATTAGTCAATATTTGGGCCACAACATTCCAAAATAAAAATTCCAAAAAGCCAGTTTGCACCCATATTACACATTTTTCTATGTGTTCTGCATTTCTATTGAGAATATATTAATTATATTTTGCACGTTGCACATTAGGTTTTTGTTGAAGAGGACGATGTCTCAAAAATGCCAGAATGAAAAACAATATGTTTGGTATTATAGGTTAATAGTAAATCTCATGTCTCTTGTCTTCACCAGTAAAAACTGAGGATGGGCGTAGCAACAACCAGAAGTCAGCTGTGTCTGAAGAGGCTGCTGTCTGAGCCACAAGAAAACTTACCAAAATGCAAGCTCGCCCGTCTGGAGACATCCCATTCTGCCAGTGGCCTAGCTTCATATCTCACACCAACAAACCCCACACCCAAGTCGCTCTCAAGCCAGCACCCGTCCAGAGTCGGACTATATCTCCTGTTTGCAAGCTGTGAAAGGGAGGAAACCTATAGGGCTGTACACACAAGGACACAAAAGCAGTACACCTGTCAGGTAAGATGGAGTAACACTAACAGTGCTGCTAAAGGTGGCAATATGACAAAATTCCCCAAAACACCTCTGGTGGTAATTTTTAGTACTTGAAGTAATAGTGTGTCCTGGTTGCAGGTTCTCCCTCTGCAGGGTTTCCAGGAACGGTTGGCAGCCTATGAGCGCATTGGTAAACACGACAACATCTGTTGTCTACAAGATGTGGTGGTCGGTCAAGACAACGTGTACGTCTTCCTGCCCGATCACCATGGAGACATGCATGCATACGTGCGCAGCAGGAAGCGCCTGGACGAGGAAGAGGCGAGGCATCTGTTTGCTCAGATGCTGAATGCAGTGGTGCACTGCCACCATAAAGGAGTCATGCTAAGGGACCTGAAGCTGCGACGATTCGTCTTTATGGACCAATACAGGTAGGATACAGTCCCAGGTGGCATAGCTGATACCATGATTGTTCTGCATCCTACATAAAAAAGAGAGAACTTTAGTTAATGTTTTTTTTGTTTGTTTTTTGCAGGACTCGTCTCGCCCTGCTCGGCCTTAACGATAGTGTAGTCCTCCACGGTAACCCTGATAACGACTTCCTCAAAGACAGACATGGCTGTCCCGCCTATGTTGGCCCTGAGCTGCTCAACAACGGAAACGGCTCCTACTCAGGTCGCGCTGCAGACGTATGGAGCCTGGGCGTGTCTCTGTACACCATGCTGATTGGACGATACCCTTTTCAGGACACACAGCCAGCTGCGCTTTTCGCTAAGATCCGGCGTGGGGTGTTCAGCCTGCCCAGTGGCTTGTCACCACAGGCAAAGTGTCTGATTAGCTGCATGCTGAGGAAGTTGCCTGCTGAGAGACTGAAGGCATCCGAACTGCAGATGCATCCGTGGCTGACCACCAATCCCTGTGCGCAACAACACAATGTGCACAAGACGCATCACACCCAAAATACAACACAGAACAAACAGATGGAGGATGATCAAGTGGTGCCAACATGGCCTGAGAAGCAATAAAATGATCATACACTATACCTTCATGTGTGAATTTGTAATAACACACTGCCTGGCCACAAGTCAAACAGTAATTTACCACTTAGATGTGGTTCCATTGTGAAAAGTTGAGCACTAAATTTTGTTACATTGCATAGAGTTGCATTTTTTATAATTTGATTGTTTTTTAAACCAACATAATGAAAGAGGCTGAATCCTAGGATTTTTTTTTTCTTGGCGAATCCCACAATCTCTTCCACAATTTGGGCCTGATGAATCTTGGCATTGTGGTTGTGAAATATGTTTGTGCTTTTTGAAAGAAACTGATTGATGGAAAAAGGTTATTTTAGTTTAATCAATAATTCAGCTGATTTTTTTTTTTTTTTAAAGAACTCCAACATGAGAAATCCCATTGCTCTGCAGTTCAGTTTTTAGCAAAGAAAAACTATATCATTTATTTTCATAATCTAGATTTCCCAAACTTATAAATTTTCTCAGGTTAAAATCACTCAACATATCCTTCAGCTCATTGAAAGATTTTTTTTTTTGGGGGGGGCGGGGATTTCACAGTTCCTAATCTGTTTCTACCAGTGTTCTTCCTTGATGTTTACATTCTCTTGATCAATAATTTGATCCTTCTGAAATAACTAGGATATTCTTCAGTATGTCAGTCCAAGTCTGCCTGCTGGCGAGTTCCAAAACTTGCTTATTTTTCGCAATAACATTTTTTCTAACATTTTCTTTTTTGAACTGAACTGTTCATTGTCATTTGCGGCCAGGCAGTCTACAATCAATTTGCAACTAAAACCAGATTCCAGTTTCAAAGTTGAAACATTTCCCTAAAAATATTCTTGCAACTCACAGCGAAGTCATTTTTTTGTTTGTTTTTTTTTTACATATGTTTGCATACATAAAGTGATAAACACTACCAATGGTATGATCCTGGATTACTTGAAGCTAAGGTGCCTTCGTCTGTTTGTAGTTGTGTCTCAGCTTTCGCCCCGCATCTGAGATACTGGTCTCCTGTCAACATTCATCTAAAGAATTAGAATATTTTGTTTTCTAACCATCTGTACTGCAGCTACTCTCCCATAGTTTTAACAATGCAGTGTGGAAACTGCATTGGGGTTTTGAAGTGGCAGATCTTTCTGGAAAGTGAGAAATTTGGCTCAACACACAAAAGAAAAACATCATTTGTTTTGCAAATACTTAAAATGAGCTTCGTCATTTACTGATGTAGTGATGCTAGTTGAATGTGTTGAAGAAACACCTGAAAATACCACAAAATTTTGATCTGAGTCTGAAAGAGACGGCAATTCAAGAGGTGGAACTTCTTTCAAGTGTTTACATTTATAAATCCTTTTAAGGATCATTACAAAAAATGGTTCACTGTTTTAAAGAATGCATTGCTGAACAAATTTTTTTTTTCAATTTAAATGTGTCTTTAGATTTTAGATAATCTGTTTTTTTTTTTTGTTTTTGTTTTTTGTTTTGTTTTGTTTTGTTTTATCCAGTTAAAACTGAATAAACTGAATTTGGTAATTAGCAAAAATTCTGCTTTAGTTGCACAAAAAATACTTTGGGTATTGAGAGAATTTTTTTGTTTTGATCAGAATTAATCTGAACAAAATACAAATGGACATTATTTTCTTAAAGCTGCAGCAGTAACAAACATCTATTTTTGGGCATTTTTATAGTGAAGATTGCATTAAAAACCTGGAGAAAATTAGCCACTTAAGATTTCAGGACAATGAGGATACAGTATATTTTGAACACTTGACTTACAATAAGAAAAAATCCTACATAAATACTATGCTATACAAATGCAATTATTTCAAAATTTGCCATCCTCCTGTGAGTGATTAAGAAAATCACTACTCAACAAGCTTTACGCCTGCTGACAGGATGCCTTTCGTTTTAGTGTACAGTGCAATTTCTGTTTTCAGTTGTGACAGAATAAATAAAAGCTGTTTAAAGTTGTTCTGGCCTCAAAATTGTTGTTTTTTTTCTGAATATATGGGCTACAATTTCCATTCAACATTGGTCTTCAGGGTGGACACTCAACTACACAGCGCAACTAACATAAGCTTGCTATTTGCTCTAAAAAAAACAGCATGACAGCTTAGATCTATCTCCATTAATAAAAGATTTGGCAGCCAGTGGGGAGACTCCAGAAAATGTAGGAATATTTACAATTTGAAAAAAAAATAAAACCAGTAAAGCAGTGCTAGTTACTAAGACATTTAACTAAAAATAGTCCAATGTCCTCATAACAAGTTTGTCAATTTTCTTAAATTTCTTGAATAATATATTGTTCGTTCAGGGAAAAAGGTTACCAAGCAACCCTATTGCTGGATGTGCAAAATTTCAAAAACATTTCACCCCCCCTGCATCCCTTCTAAAACATCCCCCCAAAAACAAAAGAGAAATAAAACAGAAAACTGAGTTTGAAAAAATGTTTGAGTTTGCCGACATCATCCCATTTCCTGTTATCTGGGAGGTAATGAATAAATAAAAACAGTTCGACAGCAATTCAGAGGAAAATATACAGAGTTGATTAATGTATTTGTGTCAGTAAAATTTTTAGGACATCCTAAGAACACCCAAATAAAGATTTTTATTTTCTGTTTGTGACAGTTTTAAAAATTATACAATATTAATTTGTTACAGGAATTAGTGGGGACTGGTTATTAAAGTAAAATATGCTCACTGAAAGCTTTGAGTCATTCATTTCATTTTTTTTATTAAATCCATCAAGAAGCAAAATGATCCCTTCGTCACTGTTTGATTCTTCTGTCAAAGCTCAGCTCTGATCCATCATTTTTGTTTTGTTTACATCGGATAAGTACTTAACAGAAACGTTCTGTTCTGACCTGATCTTATTCTGAATTGATCAGCCTGTAAGCGGTCCTTCATATTTCAGCAGCAGGCTATGAAGCGGTGTCAGTATCCATGTCATCGGTGTCATCTCCGTCGGATCGGCAGATTTCCTCCAAGGCCAGCTCTGACAAACAGAAACAATCCAGGTAAAACACAAACCATTACTTTGTTGTGTGAATCAAAGACTGACTCAATGAAAAACTGATCATATGAGGATTTTCAAATATAACTGGATGTGCTTTTAATAATTATCACCAAAAGAAAAACATTAATTATTACTTAGTTCACCAAAAATTAATTGGTACATTAATAAGATTCTTTCTGATTATTTAATGAACAGGGAAACCAGTTATCTACCAAATATTCAACTTCTGCTAGAGTGTTCCAACGATCTAAAGACACACTCCTCTTTAAAGATGAAAGATTATTTATGATGTTTGTACTGGTACCTTCGCTGTCACTAAGATCAGATATCTTGCTCAGTGTTTCACGCACAGCAGGGATCATCTGGTCATACATGTGCAACACCGGCCGGCAGCTTTCAGAGAAGCTCATGTGATGCAGCAGCAGCCAATGTAGAAGCAGCAGAGACTCCCTGAGAAGTGATGCAGTTGGGCCACTCCAACAAGACGAGCCAGATGCTGAAAAAAAAAAAAAAAAAAAGACAATCAGGATTTATTGCATGTTTAAGAGAGTCCCTTTCTTATTTTTTCCCCCAATTTACCAGAGGTTTGCTCTTGAGAGCTGCGAATATTCAACCACAGGCGATGGAAAATTATTACAACCGCCTGAACCAACTGTAAAGAAACAGAGAAAATTGCATGGAAAGAAAATTTTCAACAAGAAACAGGAGTCAGGGTGAGAGTGATTTACCTCACTGTAACACTGGCAGGAGCTTGGCTTGCTGCTTGTCCAGCCCTCTGTTCTCTGAGTCACTCGGCTCAACAAACGCACAACCTGGGATGCAACAGCGAAAAAACTGTGACTCCCAAATTTATTTACTTTTCCAGCGTTCTCTGATCTTATATAGTTAATTGTTTGTGTCAATATCAAAGATGACCATGCAATTCACAGATGAAAACATGGCAGATCCTTTTATAAGAGTCAGAAAATCACTGAAGGAAAGAGCCATATTTTCTTATTTTCTAAAATTACATGATATGTATACTTTACAAGTAACGTAGTATTTACTGCTAAATACTTTCCACATTCATAAGAAAAAATAAATCAGTTGATGTTACCTGCAGGTCCAGTAAAATCCAATCAGCATGTGTAGTTAGTGTATCTGGTCTGGTCCGAATTAAATGGAACAACTTAAGAAAAATACAAGTATCTGCAGCAAAAGAGATAAAAAAACAAGAGAAAAATAATCTTTTTAACAAGTATATATATATGTATATATATATATGTTTTAAACAAAATAAAAAGTAGTGGTTTCAGAGTGAGTAAGTGCTATCAAATTATATCATCATTGAGGTTATAGGACTTTTCTCACCTTGTTGGGAACAGAGCTGCTTGGCCAGAGATGGATGGTCAGACATGGCTGTGAGAACAGACACACACTCTGAAACTGTCTGCACCCTGGTGTCTTGTGCTAAACATACACATACCACCGGCAACACACACTGGAGCCTAAAATATAAAGAAAAAAGAAGTCAGATACATCATTGATTCCTCTCTGTCTCTTGGTGAAGGTGGACGCTTTTTCCTGTGCTCCCTCCCTGCCCATGCCTGCTCTGTTTTTGTCCTGTCTTTTTCTATATTTTTGGAGCTTTTCTTTGCACATCCCCCGAATCTACAAATTATGAATCAAGAGAACCGGTCTCTCAATAAAACTGATCAGATTTTCTTGACGAGAAGACTTTATTTATCTTAGGTAAAGGTAAATAAAATTACCTTTACCATTGAAGCATTGTAAATACGTATGAAGTTGAAAGTGACTGACATTACCTGGTGTTTAATATGTAAACACCATCTACTAAATTAAAAACTGATTATGCCTCTGAATATATTTGCAATGAACACAGTGTAGTTTGAGATGACGCACTGAGAAATCAGCTGGTGGTCAGAATCAGATGATTTTCAGCCTGATCTGTCCTAAATGGTCAGTCAGTCAAAAATAAAAAAATAAAAATCTGTTTTTATTCCAATCAGTGAACAC